CTCGTGCTCGCACCTTCACCGTTCTGTTTAGTCAGGGAGAGGGTAACATCCTGCAGATTTACAGATATGAAGGCCAGGAAGGACCTTTACGAACATCTCACACTGCATAACAAGCTCTAAATCCTCTCCTCCTTGTTGCACGAGCACTCTCGGAGCGTGCACATTTTACTGTTGCTGCATGGCAAACGCTTCTTTTCACACGCTGCTGGAAACAACAGAACAACCCTAACGTGCCCATCACCATGGCATCGCATCCCATTCCCTGCATATCCTCCTCAAAAGTATCTGCCGGAGACAGGCTCCTGTGCTTGACAACGCCAGGAATTTGACCCACCGTACCTAACCCTCAGCCCCTGGGCAAGCGGGCTCCAACCAGCAGCTGTGGGAAGGCTGTAACTGCCGTGGTCCACATCGCATGGAACCCTGGGCCCCCTGGAGAGGCTGCACTGCTGTTAGTTATGGGTTCTTTCCTCCCCTTACCACCACGAGTCTTGGGCTTTCTTTTTTTGGCCTTTTCTTTTTTTCTCCCATTTCCATTCAGCTACAGATAACAGCAACACCACGGGTGTGGATACACTTGGGCAGCAGACCTGCAACAGCCAAAGCACCTCTTCCCTTTCAGCTGGGGTGTTGCTGGGTTTCTCCCTGAGCGGACGGGCCTCGAACTGTCTCACAACTTTTGTGAGTATGGACAGGGAAGGAAAGAGAAAAAAAAGCGTGATTATACAAGGACATCTTTTATTTCAGTACATTCAAGACAAAAAGAAAAGAAAACAATTCAAGAACAGGATGTACCTTCACTCAAGGCTTTATCTCCCCTGCCCCTCTCCATTGTCATCTCTTTCCTTTTACAATCAGAAATTGCATAGAATTTGTTTTTCAATCAGAAAATTAAACTTGTCAATGTAAAACCCACGTCTGTACCAAGCAGAGGGTGAGCTGCTGCTGTTGCTAGGGAAGTAAATATTTTCCTTACATCAGATCCCGGGCTAACGGTTTTCTCAAATGCTGTGCGGCATCGTCGCTGCTAGACATGGGCTGTAAGTCACCCTCGGAGCTGAGGGTGCTCCGTGGGTCACGGGCAAGGGGAGCTCGCGAGCCTGGGGCAGAGCTCAGAGTCACTGGTTCGGGAGCGTGCAGAGCACGGGCTGCGGACGCTTCGGGGAGCCACAGCGGGCAGCAAATGCCACCTCCCTCCGCGGGCGGGAAAGGGCAGCCTTCCCCAGCACTCCCCGCCCTCGCCTGCTCCCACCTCACCTTCCTCAAAAGGCTCCCCCACCCGCATCCCAAAAACAGAAAGGAAAAAAAAGCAGAAGATAACCCCAGAACTAAACAAAAGACACAGAACCCCTGAAATTCCAGGCGTTTCAAGGCCTCTTTGAGTTCACTGTGTTTGTTGGTTGGTTTTTGGCATTTTTTTATATATATATATATGTATATATATATATTTTTATATATATATGTATTTTAACAACTCCTCAAATGGACTTCCATCAAGTGCTGCTTCTCACGGGGAGCATGTCCCATCCCACCCTTCCCTTCCTCCCTCAGTCCACCTGCCACACTCTGAAAAGGAAGAAGAGTTCAGCAGCTGAAACCTGGTGCCTTGGAGACTAGGTCCTGACGTACCCAAAATAAACCAAAACAAAATAATGACTCCTCCCCCTTCCCGTCCCTTATCTGGTCAAATAAAAAGGCCCCCCCCCCGCCCTTTGAGAACATCCCCCGGTAAGTCTACGTGATGGGGAGATGGCACCAGCATCCTTTCTCCTGGCCTGGGGTGGAGAAGTTCTATGAACCATTCTTGCCCCAGGGTGGGCAACATCTGCTACACCAGTTACCCACCACGTGTCCCTCCTTCCCGCCTCGGAGCCGCGCGGTGGCACGGAGACAACTGCTGGGGACAGGCCAGCTGGAGGAGCTCACTGCTGCTGCGTTGGGCTCCCGGAGACGCACGTCCTCTCGGACGCCGAAACCAAAGCCAACCCCTTGGCCAGGCCTGCGCGTCAGCCCAAAGGTCCGCCTTGCTCTGGAGAAGCTGGGTAACTGCTTTTAATTTAAAAACGAGTTGACATTGTACAAGTCCGTGTTCTGTAAAATGGAACAGGACCCTCTCGGCCCACCCCAACGCCCCCCTGCCCCAGCGTTACTCGGGCTCGCTGCTGTTGGTGGTCTTCTCCCACTCCAAGCTCTCTTCGCTCTGCGCAGGCGAGCCCGCAGACGGCCGTGCCCGGAGGCCCTGGAACCTGCGGCACTCGGGGCACACGCGGATGTGCGTGCACCCTCGGGCGACCAGGGCGGCTTCTTGTGCCAGTCTTTGTGCCAGGGGGTCTGGCTCGCCCCCACTGCACAGCTTCCCGTTGCTGAGCGTGGTTGTGCTGCGGGCTCGGCGTTCCTCTGGGATAACGGGGCGAGTCCGTATCATTCCCCCTCGCCTCCGACGAGGGTGGAAACTGTCCTTGCAGAGAATGATGTTGCGCAGCTCCGTCACCATTTCTTGGCACACCGACACCTGGAAGGCAGACCCGAGACATACTGCTCACCTAAGTAAGCTGCGAGCCCAGCAGCGCTGCATCTGCTCTGGATTCTGATGCCAAAGTGTTACGGACTCGGTCGTTAATCTGGCCGCTGGCTTTTGACACCAGTGCTCGGACATTTATGCTTGATTTAGCCCAACAGATTCCACCTCTTGTCAGAGACCCTCCTGTGTTCTGGATCCCCAAATCAACACGAGACCTAAACCTACTGCAGGTAGAAATCCTCAGGTGATCCCATCTCCAGGAAAGGTACCTGGACGTTGCACACATCCTTGATCCCTTCAAAAGCCCTCGGAGCATTCTACAGCCTCGATCTTAGTAGGAGTGCATGAGAAGCTCGTGCATTTTAGACCCTGCCCAATGCACCTAGGCTTCTTGTGCGTTTGAGGTCTCACTACTAGGAACGCTCATTTCAGCCTGGGTGCATTACTTGCTCCAGAGCACTGCACTGCTGAGCACCCGGCAGACAGCAATAAACTCACACTATCCCCTCAGGACACTTTCAGGTCCTACCTCTGACTGTTCAGAGTGCCGAAGGCTCCACAAAAATTCCAGCATTGCCATAAAAATTGCTACGATTAGGCCACAGATGAGAACCACGAAGATTCCACCAATATTCTCCATTCCCAGGCCTAAAACAAAAGCAGAGGAGACAATGCTGGGGAGAGGCAGACACAACATAAATTGCAAGCATCGCTGTACAGCAATCCCAGCTCTTCGCTGTTTAGTTGGCATTGCATATACCCAGCCAGGGACCAAAACCACATAGCCAGCACTGTCCTATTAATAGCTAACCGCATGACTCAGATGGCAAACTGAATGACTTGCAATAACTGTGCGATCGAAGACACGTTCTAAGAAATGATGATTCTGCAGATAACCAGCAAGTGCATTGGGGGGAAGTACAAAGCAATTTGTGGACAAACTGAAAACAGGAGAAAAAATGAGAGATCAATCGGGCACATTAATCCCTGCAAATTATTCGCCCAGCTCTAGTTGCTTTGAACTTCGCAAAAGAAGATGAGCAATGCTGTTAAAGAAGCAGAGATGAAGAAGACAAGAAAGGGCTTTAAAAGAAGCTGGCACCAAGAAAAGCTCCTTTGATTGCATCACAAAGTGCTGGTAAAAAATGATTACAGCTGCTTGTATTGCAGGAGCAAGGAGAGGTTCCAAACCAGACCAGGACCCAGCACTGTTTCACACCATACGGTGACCAAAAAGGGTCCCTGCCAACCAGGGGTACCTGACTATGGGTTGGGTGCTCTCTGGCCAGCACCCTCTGGCCCATGAGGGAGAAACAGCCCCTTCCATGGGGTGACTGATCTCACCTCCCTCAGACAACTCGCTTACAACGGGATGACTACCATCTCTCCTGACCATAGGAGCCATTCGGCCACCTTGGGCCAAATGCCACATGTGCTGACAGCTTCACTTAGCGGGGGGGACTAGATTGCACTGCAGAAAGCTCACCAGCTGGAAGGAAAATCCACCCCTCAAGAACCTGTCCTGAGCTTTCCGCATGCCAAGGCTGTCACCTCGCTTTCCACTGCGACCCCGTCCCCAGAGCTGCAGCCTGTGCCCCCGTCTGGCCCTGCAGAACAGGGCTGAGAGAGGAGCTGGGGAGCGGTGCTGGCCGCAGCACACGCTGCCCGAGAAATGGCTCTTCTCTCCCATGCTTGTTGGGTTTGGGTCTCAAGCGGCATGGGTCCCTGATTGGATTGATAACTAAAAAGCATGTGGTGCTTTGCACTGAGGTGAGCGTATGAAGCCATTACTCAACAAGAACATCTATAAAAATCTTCCTCTCCCCTCTGTAGCATTAAATCAAAGCGTGAGAATCAATGATTTATTGACTTAATCTCTGCGTGGCTTTCAGACATAAAATCTCACCAAAATCCTTGTAAATCGCTGACCTGTTTTGTTTTAAAACTTAGGAGGTCACATTTCTCCCTCCTCCTCTGTCATACTTTAGGCATTGCCTCTGGACCAATCTAGTGACTCTGTAAATCAACTCTTCCTGGAGATGTTTCCACTAAGACAGCAATTGCAGGGCAGAAAACATAGCCCATAATCACAGTTTAGACCCAAGATCAAGGCCACCCTCTCTTCCCAGCAGCTCTCAAATTTGAATTTAGGGCCAGTAACTCTCTCTACATCCATCTATCAGTCTACCTGGGTGCCACCTCAGACACCCATTCCCAACCTCACCTGAGAGGTACTTTCTTCCTCCATATATACATACCAGCAGGCTACAGCCTTCCTCATTTCCCAAACTGAGAAAGTGAGCCATGACAGAGGGCAAAAAACAGCAGAAGAACTTGTCCAGGGTCACAGAGTGCACCGGGTAGTGCCAGAAGCAGCCCAGGAGCCTGCTTCCCAGCTGCCCCCTTCCAAAGCCGTCTCAAAACAGCCCACAGACTAGATTCCACTTCAGAGCTGCTTTTTGCATGGTTCATGGAGGAGAAGACCCCCATGTGCCTGCTCGCCTTCAAAAGTAGCTTCTTTAATAGCTTATTGCCTTGCTTATGTCTTATGCTGGGCCACCACCTCCTGCCTCAAGCCTAACAGCCCGGGCTGCCTGCAGTGCAGCTCTGCCCAAGAGGGAGAACCGGCTCGCAGTCCCCGCGGGGTCTCACCCAGCCTAGCTCCCAAATGGCTCAGACACACCGCTGCATCTGCTGCGACGTCAGGGAAACAAGAGAGCTACCATGGATGCACTTGGCTCTCCATCCCTGTACTCCGGAAGGTCAGAAGACTGTCCTTTCAACTGGGGGACCTGCTGGCCTCCCAGAAAATGCTTGCTGAGGAAAGGGTAACTGCCAAATCTAAAAAACGCAGCAACTGCTTTAAGCTGGCAACTGCTCTCACTCTGGGACATCAGCCTAATGTGGTAGCTTTTATGGCAATTTGCATAGCATTACCCAAAAGAATTTGCTCCTCAGTTTACAGATGTACTAATAAAGTCCTTGTGTCCCTTCCCTTGGCTGTTTAAAAGGCGCTTTCACTTGGAGCCATTAACTAGCGGGCCTGTGGTGGAGATCCATCTCCCTTCAAGGAAGCCAGGATTTTGGTCTGATCCCTTTAGCCATCCATTTTCCCATGTAATGCTGCAGACATTCATTAGAAGCTAATTTACCCTCCATATGCCTCCAATATTTGTCATTTGGTTGTTCCTGCTATCTTTGCCCCAGGCAAAAACACACAGCATGAGGCACAGCAGAGCTCTTTGGCTTTCTCCTTGAATTGTGGAGGAAGGAATCTCAGGTCAGAAGAAGGGGAAAAAGTAATTCTCAGGCAGAAAACCTGGCAGCGCTCAGGTGCAGATGGATGTTCAACCTTGCGCTGCTGGCAAGGATGCTTCTGCTGCCTGGTCCCTTCAGCACACTACCAGAGGGCGGCGTGGCTTACCTTTGGCTCTGTGGTCCTCCTCTTTGGGGCACTTGCCTCCTTCCCACCATTTCCGCTTCAGGATTTCCAGGCGGTTGTTCTCTTGCAACTGGAGAATGGCCAGGTCAAACTCGTCACGAAATGCAGAGCCTGCAACACCAAGAGGTATGTGGTAAGGCACCGCCTCGGCCGGCCTTCCTCCCCACTCATCCCCACCACGATGCCCTGCCAGTGTGCCCAACTACAAAGGCTCGTCTCTGAACAGTTTGGAAGGGACTTCAGTCCATGTAAGCCCTTGAAACCTGCAGCCTCCCTGCTGTGACTGTCAACTGGGTAGTGTCATTTGCAGATGGTAATTCCTCCTGTCCACCAAGGCCCACATAGACCATTTAAAGGTCCTTCACAAAGGGGAGCTTTGGCTTCAGGGGCCGGGTGTGAACAGGCAGTTCAGTATCCCACCGCTGCTCCTCCAGACCTCCGAGGTCCCTCTCCTGTCATCCTGCATCCAACTGCAACCTTGCTCTGACGCCGTGTCCCTCGAACTGCTGCGCTGCAACAGCAGCAAGTTCAACCTACAGGCAAGCCCAGCCGTTCATGGCAGAGGAGGCTCGCTTCTGCGCTTGGTACCCATCTCTGCTGCGGTCTTGATGATGTCCGCTACCAGAGATCCCAAAGAAGGGCCGTGGGAAAGACCGCAGTTCTCCTGGTAACCCTGCACTATTGTCCCAGCCAGCAGCTTTCTGCTCTTCTTATCTGCTACAGTTTCACTGTTTAACAAGACAATGTCAGAACAAATTTAGTCCTGAAAGTAAGGATTTGTACTCACGATCAGGTTACTGTGACTTTACAAGCTTACGCATGTTAGCTAAACTATAGTGGCTGTTTGTGTGATGGTTCTTATGTAATTCACCTTAACTTTGTATTGCTAAGTGCAGGTGCTTAAAGGTCAGGAACAAGGCTTCCCGAGACTGGCCGAAAGATCATTCGATCGCTTGGAATAACAACTACTACATCCTTTTTCTCTGCTGCCCTGGGAGATGATGTTCTCTTGCTAGCTCTCACACTGGAAAGACAACCCACCTGCATTTGTTAAACTTGATTATTAGCTGAGATAGTCACTGAATTGCCCAATTCTCTATCCTAGAGTTTTAAGAACCACCAGCTGTTAAGAAACTTGTGCTAAAAGCTACAAGAGTTGCAGTAGCATTACTTTTACAGCACTTCCGAGATAAAACAAGGAGCACAAAATGATTCAAAAACACTGGTTCAAAAGGGAAACAGTCAGCAAAGAGCATATACGCAGAAAATAAGCAGCAGTTTTGAAACATCTTTCATATGAATTATTTAAAGAGCCGCAGTCGCGTGTCACATGGCTCTGGACCAGAGCAGGGTCTCGTACATCTGGCTCTGAACGCGCACCTTGGGCAATTGCAATGTATTTGATTTTCCTCCTGAGATAAAAACCACCCTGGGCAGAGCTGTGAAACGTGACATTGGCTTTAGAGCCGGTTCAGCCTTTCAAGTGCTCCGGTCCTCTGCCGACAGCTGAGAAGGACTAGAATTTTTCTTCACTGCCTACCGACGGGCATGCCAATCCCGTAGCCCTTGGTGTCCAGAAGGCCCCCGACCTGCGTGAGGTTGCAATTGCGCTGACGATAATACTCGTTCATGGTGGACTCCAGCAGGAAGGCGTAATTGGAGTTCAGCACGCGCGCAATCCCTTCCTCCGTGCTCTTCACAAAGACGCTCGGCTGCTTGGAGTACATGTAGTTCCACATCCGCTGGTACGTCTGGTAGCGGGAGTTCTGCAGGAGGAAGGAGGCAAGCACAGCTCAGGCGGGAGCACCTTGCTGTAACACCAACCCAAAATTAGACGCCGCTACGAGGAGGTCACAGCGGGGAAAAGAGTCAAAGCCAATTTGGTGCCAGGTTCAGAAAGGATTTAGATGCCTAAACCTCCATTTATTCCAAAGAGATTTAGAGGCCCAAATATCTTGGTGGATTTGAGACTTTGTTGGCTAAGCTGGGCACAAAATGCATACCTAATTCCAATAGGTTCCAGCAAAGCTCTTTGCATAAATTCAATTTGAGAAAAATACATATTTTCCGTAACAGTATATCGCAAACATGCCAAAAAAAGCCAGGAGAAATAGCTTGTGTGTGGCTGGTTTAAGCCTGTACAGCTCACACCCTGTAACTTTGTGCTTAACAGTCCAGCAGCCTCAGAGCCAGAGACCATCACCTTGAGAAGGGCCCTGAGGGCTGGGGGCAGAGCCAAAGCTCTTCAGAGTTTGTTGCTCCCTGAATCTGGATTTAGGCTCGCCCCCTCGTGAGGCAAACCACTGGGGTCTTTTGATTGACTGCAGTAAACTAAAGCTCAACCAGCCCCAAATCCTCAGACTTTGCTGGTGGGAACCCACCTTGGTTTGACTGAGAGAAAAGCTGACTACAGTTAATATATCTCCTGCCAGCGCTGAGCAATGAGTGAAACCTGCTTGGCCAAAGAGTGAAGATAAGCAGACTCTGGTCTGCATTAGGAGTTCCTGAATTTGCCCCTTTCCCCTTGCATTTCTGCAGCACACGGAATCCCTTACACCAGCTCCCCTCCTGGCCACTGCAGCAGGTCTGTGACGTGCTGCCCAGCACCCCCTGCCTCGCACTGTCAAGGGCTCATTTTCTGTGGCGGGCAAACAGTGCTGGAAAGCCTCAGGGAATCTGCTGCTGACCCAGTTCCTCCCCTCGCCTGTCCAGCTCTGTCCTCTGGGTGTAGCCACTTGGGCAAGGGACAGACAAACAGGGTGTGTGTTTGTTCCCGATTCACTGCACTTTTAAACCTTAATCCAGCGTGTTCCTGTCAGGGCAAACTGCCGCCAGGACAAGGCAAGGTGCTTCAGCCGTGGACACACGTCTTGTGCAGCCAGGAGCTGAGGGCTGGTGAAGGCAGCCTCAGCAATTCCTGCTTAATCCATCGCTGCATCTGACCCACCATCGTTACACCACAGGCGAATGGATCCCAACATAGTTTAAAGCATTGCAAATGGGACAAGAACATCTTTTGCCTATTCCTTCTCTGATACCAGCAACTCCAGGCAGTGCAGAGCCACAGTCAGGATTTTAAACTTGAAAGCCTTCCTGAGAAGAGCTAAGCAAGTGCCTCATATACAGCCATCTTAGTCACGTGGGTTCTGTTCAGCTCATTTTAGACAGAATCATAGAATGGTTTGGGTTGGAAGGCACCTTTAAAGGTCATCTAGTCCAAAGCCCTGCAATGAGCAGGGACATCTTCAATCAGATCAGGTTGCTCAGAGCCCCGTCCAGCCTGTCCTTGAATGTTTCCATGGGTGGGGCATCTACCACCTCTCTGGGCAACCCGTGCCAGTGTTTCACCACCCTCATCGTAAAAAACATTTCTTCCTTAGGTCAGCGGTCAATTTATTGTGGTAGTTCTCAAGCTCAGGCTCGCTTGAGAGATTTCTCAGGCTTCCCAATTCAGTTCAGACTCAGAGGGGGAACAAAGCAAGAAAAGCTTTCTTTCCCCTTGGAGTTTCAACAAGTAATAAATAAATAATCCTCAAGCAGTTCTTTGTGCATTCAGAGCACTGCAGAAAAGATTCACTCATTTATTTCCCTTCTGAATAGAGCAGGGAAGATAAAAATTAAATTGGGCTAAATGGCAGGCATATGTTTGCATACACTTGGACTTATTTGTTTCCAGTGCCACTGACCACATACAGACTCCAGCACTTTCACATACACTCAGCCTACCTGGGGTTTGCAAACGTCTCTTTGCTTACCCAGCCTCTGGGACTCTCACATGAAAGCTAAGATCACATCAAAACCTCATAGAGAGCCATGGAAATTTGACTGCAAATGCTCATCTGCTGAAGACTGTGTTATGCCATCGCTGTGACACAGGGATGCGTACCACTTTCCCACCCACATGGTGACACTCCAAGTGTTAAGTTGCTTTCGAAGTCCAGGCAGTAAAGTCTGCTCGGCCAGAGTCCAGCACGGATGTCCTGACCCTAGTCCTCCAGCGTGCCAAGAGCACGCCCGCTGCTGTGTTACAAAACCCTGCCTTCCCTCTTCCCCGCCATACCTCCCCCACCATTCATCCCATCATCGCCCACTGTGGATCTAAGCCCAGTCCTGCACAACCAAGCAGCCAGGGGTCTCTCCAAAGGCCCCCTCTGTGCCAGAAACTGGAACGAAACGGGCATGACAGACTGGGGCGACATCCGAATCTGATTAAAGGGTGCCCTCCGCACCCCCCGCCCCAGCTAGCAAAAGAATGGGGTTTACTTGGAAGAAGGTCATGCTGGAGCCGCCATGGATGGTGCCGTACTCGATGGCTGTCTGGTCAGCCAGGTCATCTACAGATTCGATGGGGACGTCCATCCGCTGCACGGTGAGGAAGGCTGCCAGATTGGCTGTGTAGGAGGAGATGATGATCAAGGTGAATGCCCACCTAGGGAAAGGGGAAGCGAAGACGGTGATCTGAGATTTCCCCAGGGACTGAATCTGATCTCCATCCCCACCCTCTGCCGCTCCGTCTGCTTCTGCCCAGAAAAGGCCCACAAGAAGCCTTCCTCACGAGGAGGGCTGACCTCCTTACCAGACTCCACTGACGCAGCGCGTGGATAACGCTTGGGGGCAAATGGTGGAGCCTTGCTGCATGAATCCCCCGACTGGAAACCACAAGCTGTTGCCCAGCGAGTACTGATTCACGAGAAGGTTGCATCTGCCTTGCGAGCAGGGGTGGGGGCTGTACCACTCGTACGGTGTCAATCTAAAATGACAAGAAACCGGTAGCTCAGGTAATTCACTGGGAAATGGGCACTTTGAAGAAAAAATGCAAAAAAAAAAAAAAAAAAAAAAAAAGCTGTGAAGCCCAAACTCTCCTGGAAGCAGATTTTTCTGAGGAGGAAGCTCGGTTGTCCATTGATCTCCAGGGCCCAGAGCTATGTGAAATGCTTGCTCTAAGACTCAGAAGCCAGTGGCTTTCTTGTAAAGATATGCAAAAGCTTTGAGAGGCTCTGCTGAAAATCTGGGCACGGGCTGCAGAGAAGCTGGAGCCCTGTGTGCAAATTTGTACTGCAGGCAACCACAACAGTAATTCCAGATGTGCACGGACTTGATGTGAAATTGAAATCAAGCATCTTTGGCTGTGGTCCCTGCTGGAGAATAAGCATCAACAGGAAGTGAAAAAGTGGAGTGAGACCTGACTGCATGACACTATCGAGAAAAATAGCTGTATTGGTGCAAATGGTTGCTCTAAGAAGGTCTGGTTGGCCCAGGAAAGTCTAGGTCCCAAGTCTAGTTTGAAGGCCAAGTGCTGGTGTTTCAAAGCATCATATACTTTCAGTGCTGACAGGGACAGGACAGAGGTGGGAATCTGAAAGAACTGGCAGCCTGTCACTGAAGTGACTGTAGCCTAGCTCTCTTTTTGCTGTTTCCAATCCTCAGTTCCCTGGTTGCTAAGAAAGTCTTCTAATTCCTATGCTGCAGTTCATTATATTGCTAATGGTTAACAAAGCCGGTGCCTGGGAGGGTCCTTTTGGGGATACTACCAATACAGCTGCACGGCTCTGCCAGCTTATGCAGCACCGAACCAAAATTAACCAAAACGAGGTGTTTATCTTCATTTGTGCATCTCCTACCTCACAGTGACGCCAGCGAGGTGGAGGCTATTTCTTGAAGACGTTCTACGGTTGGATAAGCACTAGCAGTAAAAAATGCTGCTCTGGGAGAGTCTTCTGCAATTCACAGGGTCAAAAGCTCCTTACTGCCGAGCAAGGCAGAAAGCAGCGTCCAAACCTCCACCTCCAGCAGGAAGCCATATAAAGGCACCTTTCTGGAGGACCATGTTTAAAACATGAGGACGGGGCTAAGGGGGCACCAAATCTCAGTCTGCAGAGAGCGTTGGACTGCATTATTCAGTGGTTTCTTCAGAACTATGTTTCTGAGGCTGTAATGGCATTCGAAGAAACCACTGAAACGCTGTCAGGATGACAACTTTAGCCATGCTAAGGGACCGAGTGACAGCACAGTTCCAATTTTTGTAATGAGAATTGAGTATTCACCATGTCCCGAAACAGCCTTCAAGCCCTGAGCACGTCTTTGGTACACATTGCCAGGACACAGTTCAACTGCGTCTGAAAAGGCCCATCTATGCCACCCACCATAAGCAGTTTGTAAGGAGGTCAGGGAAAACAGCAGTGGAGCACAGACCCTGGGCCTCGACGGGAGACACGGTGCAGGCTGCAGCACTCAGCGATATATTTTAAGGCTGATTTAAATTAGTCATAGGGAAATGGAACTGAGAGCTCAAGTGAGGCTCTGCACATCAACCAAGAGGCTGCTGAAAGATATTAATGAACTTCCTTTTTCTGTACACACTGGGTTTTACAAGGCCAGAGGAACCAAACATTAGTACTGGAATTTGCATTAATATCTCAGAATGCATTTGCCGGTACCTGCCTGACTCCACTCTCCTATTCAAAACAAGTGGTTGGTTTATCCGTTGCAGATCAAGCATCTCCAGGGAGCAGCACCATTTGCAGCACCAGCCCTACACCCAGACCCTCCTCCCACCCTTCCCACGCAGCTCCCAGCACCAGCACCCACTGCTGTGGCCAAGCACGGTCCCGAATCGCGGCACGCTGCTCCTGCCCGCCCTGTCCCAGCCATGCCAGCGGCCACCCCGGGGCTGCCATATGCATCGGCGATGCGCCTGCGCGGGCACTCAGCGGCAAAGCCCCAGTCCCCAGCTGGTGGAGAGCAGGGGGGTTGGAATGCTTCTGCCCCCCTTGCTTCGCCCTCCACACTGGTGGCCCGGGGGGGGTCCCCGTGTCCCCCTGCCCACGCATCCCCCCACCCCCGGGTCTGGGAGCGTGACGCTAGATGGCACCGCGAGGAAGGGAAAGGAAGGCAAAGGGACCGCCAGACACATTACCGAGCAACCAAGAAGAGGACGCAGCTGACAGCCAGGTAGGCGAGCAGCATGAAGAGCCAGACGCCAGGGGAAAAGGGATCCAGGAACGAGAAGTAGCCAGGTTTGCGGCCCTGGAAGGGAAACAAAAAGGAGTTTGACCTGCTTCTATTTCTACAAATTACGTAGTCCATTCTGAAAACGACACGAAGAAACACATCTGTCCTGATGCTGACAGCAGATGGGAGGAACAGAAGGGAAATAACGTAAACAGGGCTTTGCAAAAGCCTTGCAACAAATGACCAAGTCCTGCAGCACCCCTGCGCTGGCATTCATCTCCTAAGACTATTCCTCTCCCCACCTCAACCACTTTTGTTCCTCCAGGCAAAGAAAGAAGTGAATTGACAGAAAAATTGAGACGATCGCCACGCTCTGCCCTCCCCGTGATAGGATGTGCTGCACCCCTCGCCTGCGGGGCTGCCGATGGGGGAGTCCCCACCTGAAGCCTGTGTCCATCCAAGCAGACTGCACACCACGCTTGCGGGGCAGGAGGGGGCTCCCCCGGGAGAGCAGCCTGAGCTCGGAGGTGGGTGGGATCCTTTGCATGAAGCAGAGTGGGGAAAAAAATATTTTTTGTGCAGAAAAAGGGAAAAAAAAGAAAAAAAAAAAGATATGTTTGCAATATTTCTGGTTTTCTTTCTTCAGCCTTGAAACGTTTCTTCTCTACAAAACTCAATAAAATTATTACTTTTATCTAAGGGAACATGGTATTTTTATCTCCAGGATGCGTCAGAATTTCCTGTTTTTTTCTCAGCAAACCACCTTTCCTTGAAAAGTAAGGCTTCACTGCTAGAAAAAAACCCAGGTTGCTCTTCTCTCAAAGCACCTTTGATTTTCACAAGGACACCGCCACCATTGAAATCTCGTCAAATTTAGCAAAATTTGTGCAAAAAGGAGGATTAATTTCTAGACGTTTCTCCAAAGCTGAACACCTCCCATTCTGGTGAGTGCAGGTCTCCCGCCACCACCAGCTCCGCGGATGCAGCTCCTCTGCAACACAGCCTCCTCCAGGGTGGAAAAAGCCACTAATTTACCTCCGAGCACCTTCAACACTATCGTGGGGGAGAAGGGGAGAGGTGAAAACGGAGCACAAGGCACAGGACTAAAGAAGTGCCCTTTTGCTCTCTGTGCAATTTTTAATATGTGTGCGGAGCAGCAAGCTCTTTGTTTCAGCACTGCGCACCCCCGACACACCGCTCCCACCCCAAACGCTGCAAGTGTTCAGGCAACGCTCCTCTCCCTCAGGCATCTCCTTTCCTTACCGTCTCCTCTGAAAGGCTCCCAGCAAAAGCATGAAATCCCAACGCAGGGCTAAAGGGTTGCATTAACCCTGTGGGAATGCAAGCGCTTTGCTGGCAGGAGCCTGTATCTTCTGCCCCGAACCACAAAGTCAGTCCTGGCATCACACAAGCTCTACAGTTTCCCCAGGCACCTGCAACCGGGAAGCTGCCCACAAGTCAGAGCTCCTGCGGAGGCTTTTACTATAAAGTCAGAGTGGAAACAGCCTTTTATCACATCTCAGCCAGGCTGTCAGCGTATTTCTTACTGGCACCTTGCTCTGTTGTGTGCTGAAAACATCTATCACTGTTTGCTCAGTGCCGCTCACTCCAGCAGCCGTTTCCCAGCACTCGCAGCACGGCAGCTGCTCCGCTGTAGTTTGCTCGCTTGACACAAAAGCTGCTGCCGGGGATCATCTTGGACACACAGAGGCCTCGTTTTGCCCTAGTCCGCTGCCTTACCCTGCCCATCGGTGACACCACATAAACTAATAACGGCTGGTAATAAATAACACCTAACCTCAACTGCTGTAGCAAACCCAGAGCATCAAAGACCAGAGTCCTGGTATTTTAGAGCTGTGCTTAATCCAAAGGCAGTGAATAATTTTCTGTTTTCACAAAAGTCCCCAGGAAACATAGCTGGTTTTTTTTTTTTTTTCCTTCCCCAGACTCACAGCAGCACTTTAAATTCCATTTCCGTTAAAAAACACTGTTTTACTACTGAAGTATTCCTAATCTTATGCAAAACCTGAATTTCACAAGGTCTTGGTAGTTCTTCTGAAGACTAAGTTGTTGCTAGAAAAGGCAATAGTTGTTGCACAAAAATTTTCCTCTACTAAAAATATCAGGATACTGTGATATTCTCAGCTCCAGTCACCAGCTGGGATGGTAACATCTCTGAAACCTTCTACAGCAAACTCTGCCCTACATGAAGTAAAGAACCGCCACACCACAACGTCCTATCCCTGTATCCTTAAGGACAAACTGAGCTTGAGCTTGGCATCTACACTAGCATTTTTAGAGAGTCTGGCTTATTAAGCCTTTTAACAAACAGATGAGTTAAGAACCAGTGGTTCAGACCATCCTGTGTCCATTTTCAGATTAAAGTCATTTTCCAAGCAAAGGTTCAGGTTCTCCTGGGTATAATTCCAGAGTCTCTCTTCTCTACAGGGTTATCTTAATGTACTTTGTATAAGCAGGTGAGGTACAAACAGTGAAAAATACTACATTCTTCTTTTGTCCTTCCCCTTTTTATTTTTGGTCAAATGCTGCTCTGTACTCTTTTCCTTGTATTCTTCCAAGAAACCCAGAGAGAGACAAATGAGTGCTACAGCCAGCATCTGGGCCCAAACCAAGGGCCGCCAGAGCTAGAGACACTGCTGGAAACTACAACCCCAGCACCCCAGAGGGATCCACATTTCCAGTAACATCCTTTGCTCACCTTGCTGGAGCTCCTCTTACTATTTCAGAGAGGTGAGACCATCTCAGGAGTCTGCAGGCTCCCAGGCGCACCCCCTCTGCACTTCTCACTGATCCCATCCAGATGATCATTGACTTCTTGATGCCAATGGGAAAGCAAAGGTAGGAGATAGCAAAGTCCTTCTCTTTATTGACTGCATGGTTTTCCTGGATGCCCCACAGGCCCCTGGTTCCCTTTTTCATCTAGAGCTAGACTGGCTCAGCTGCCTCTCTTATTCCACAGGCATTTACACAGTCAAGAATGAAACGAGGCAATAGGAACCTGCAAAGTGTGAAGGCCACCGTCTGCCCTCGGCCGGGCAAACTGGAGCTTCTCAAGCAGAAGATTGTTCCAGGAGGCTTATCCCTGCCCGGCATCCCAGAGCTGGCAGGGAACTCCCAGGCACTGGCGGTGCCTCGGCTGGGGCTCCCTCGTGAGATGCTCCTGTAACAAAGTTCCTTTCTGTAATTAAAGGCCTTGATGTCTCCTCTATGTTTCTGGGGCAGTTTGTCAATAAATTACACTCATTAAGGAAATTGCTTTGGAAGCTTTAAGTCTCAGGCTTGGCAATGACTCTCTCCTGTGACTTTACGGTAGTAGTAGTTCTGGTTCTTTTCACTACAGTCATTTTCAGGCTGCTGCTACATATTCTTTTCATTCACAGTTGTGGATAAGAATAAAGATACTCTGTTCCCACGGAGGGCACAAACTCTCTCTTATCTGTCTGTTTTGAAGATGGGAATATGACAATATCTGGAGCCTGTCAGATATTTTTAGCTGGTCCCAATACAGCTTTGTTAATTGGAAGAGCTATTTTTCCTGGAATAGAAATGTTCCAAATGTCCAATAATTGATGAAGGCCTCCTGCAAATCCTCAGATGGAAGCAGGAGAGATTCATTTACCCTCCTCGGTCGTTCTTGGAAGTCTTCATTTTCAGCCAGAGGGAAGCAGTTTTCTGGGCAGATACCAGTGACTGAAATGCCTGAACGCGCCAGACACCGAGGAAGAGGAGGAGGAGTGGGGCTGTATGGCATGGTCCTGGATTTGTCCATGTTCAGGTCCGTAAGAGACCTTACAACTCCCTGCCTGCCCTGCACACACAGCCTGAAGGGACTCCAGTGCTCGCCTGCTCCCTCCCGCAGAAAGATTCAGCCCTACCTGTGTCAGTTCTCACAGACGTTTGTCCCTAAAAAAGGCAGGCGAGAGAACTCTCTTCTGTCTCTGTAAGTCAGAAGGAAAGCAAGAAAACTCAGCCTGGAAAGGCAGAAATGTTGATGCGTACCAGGTGTAACTGCAGTGCATTTGGTCTCACCAAAACTGGGATGACCACGTCTGATCCAGATCCCTCCCTTTTCAGGGTCCTTTCTCTAGACTCGATAAGCAAAACCCAAGCACAGGCTACTGCGAATCCTGAGCCTAATTTGGGGTCACCAGATGGTCCACAACCGACAGGCCAACACGTACCATGGCCCCCAGCACGCCTGGGGGCAGCGATTGCTCCTGCCCCTGGTTCAGAGGAGCGGGAGGCTGGCTGGCAGAGCAGCACGGGTTTTCGGGAGGGCTGCTCAGCTCCTCGGCCTCGGCCCCCGAGCCTCCTCGGTCCTTCCCATTTCGTGTCTTTTGCAGCAATCAAGTAGAAACACTTTAAGCCTCAGTTCACTTGGCCTAAACTCGCTTATTCCGGTGCACTCACGAAATGCACATTTTCTCATCTTAAGGTAGAGCACAGTACGGACTTTCAGGGCTGATGAGCCGGAATCATGTGCTAGCTAGTCCCTCGTTCCCTGCCATAGAGGCAGGTATGTGAGCAAAAGCATGTGTATGCTACAAATAAGCCTGACTTTTAACACCCCCCTGTGCAGAAATGGCACTGGACACCTGATTTCAGCCCTCTGCCAAGCAGAGTGAGAGCTCAGGACTTGTCATCTATCTCCCGCCTTCAATGGGTCCCACCAGCTGGTCAGAATGGGAACATAATAAAACAAAGCAAGCTTTTTTCTCTTAGCAGCCTGCAAGTCAGAAAGCCTGTTAGAGTCCCCGTGTCAGAAATCCATACTTGATTATATCACAACAAGTGAAATTGAGAAAAATGACAGCCCCGTTTAAAGCTGCCATATTTGGTTATGTGTGATAAGAGACACACGCACTGTGGTGGCTGGGTTGCCGGGCGAGGAGGAGAAAGGGGGGAGAAATCATTTGCCACTGGAGTTACATGGAAATTAAAATAAAATGTCGGCACACCGAGAAGAGACCAGGGCACGGAGGCAACTCCTCAGCAAGAAATTTATTTGTGGTTATTTATTAGCTACGTCTGATCTGCGCCGTGATTAACATACGTCAGATGCCATTTTTGACATTGCAGAGATGTTTGCTGGGGTGGGGAAGGGAAGGGAGGGGAGGGGATAGGAGCAGATGGGGCTGTGGGGCTGCCTTCCGCTGCTCTGCAAACCACATCCTTGAAGAAAAACCAGAGCAATTAGCTACCTTGCCTTTCCTCGTTAAATAAATATTTACCAGTTTAATTAGTTAATTGCCACGCAGCGCTCGGAAACTCTCCCCAAGCTAAGCAGGAAAGGTCTGGACAAAGAGGGGCCAAGTGCTGGAGAGGGAAGAGGGGGCTCCAAGGTTCCCTGCTGGGGAGACCTCCCTGCTCCTGGGGAGGGCACAAGCCCAATTCACCCCCTGCCATCGCTCCTCGTGGCCTTGATGAAGCAAAGCAGGGCTCCTTGTGGGGTGACCTGACCTGGGAGATGCCCTGCGTCTCCCTCCCCAGCCCGCCTGGGTCACTGGGCAGCTTCTCTACTCAAAGTCCTAACTGGGTCCTTTGTTGGGCAGCTGAAGACTGAGTCCTGACCAACGGCAGGGGACTATTTGCCAAACACTTTTTAAGACTGTAATTATTAATCCTGTTCAGTTTGGTAAATGCCTAAAGGGCAAGCTGGAACATGGGCTGTGTTGCATTAGTCTGGTACCAGCACGAGCAGCAGATGGTCCCTGCCCTGAAGAACTTATACTCTAAGTAGATGTGTCAGACACATTTATATTGAGCTTGCACAGAGGCAGCAGCAAATGCCTTGCACTTATAGAGCAGATCACATGCAAACCCTGCACCAATATTCCTGTGTTTCCTCTGGAGGGAGCGACATCAGCCTCGTGCTGCTAAGGGAACGATGGCTCGTTAAGGGACTTGCTGAAGGTTATGGTGTAAATTGGAGGCAGAGCACGCATGGTACTCAGTCCCCAAACTTTAAAAACGCATGCAAGAAAGCAAGAAATGCGATTGTAATCCCAGCCAAGAGTTGCTGGCAGAAACACCTCCCAGATCCACGGGGCAGCTGGTGGTGTGAACAAGCAAACGCCGCAGGGAAGGGACAGTTACACTTGATTTACAGCAGCTGAAGAGTCTGACCCTTTTTGATCAGTTAAGCCATTGATCCTAGATTCTGCACATACCAGAGGAAACAGAATTTTAACTAGATTTTAATTACTTGTTTGTTCTTGGCAGGAGCCACTCCGCGCAGAGAGATGTATGCGCAAGTTTGTTTATGTTCGTACCCAACGCTGCATCCTTAACAGCCTTGCGAATTGAGAGAGGGGGCTGGGAGAGGCAGCTTTAATTGTTTTCTCCTTTTGGTTGCTATTGTTGAGCTGACGGGAAACCAAGACTGGAATTCACATCACACTCGGCGCCGCACAGAGCACATTTCCAAAACGCAGATTGGGAATAACATTTCATCCTGTTGCAAAGGGCTGGGATGCCAGAGCTCACCTCCTGTGACACTGGGGAACCAGGGGCTTTGCCTGGCCCAGGCGGGTGTAGCTGGGGAATGTCTGTCCTCTCCTGAGCTTCAGGAGGAAGCCAGAACAACAGAAAATGGGGATGCAAGAGAAGCCTTATGAATTTAAGACAACAAGTGTCGTCTAAGCAAAGACACGACACAAGGCTTCCACGTGTGAATCCCCTGGGCAGCTCTGCTTCGAGCCACAGGCCCACGAGTTGCTAAACAGCCACCACGTAACGCCTGACCTGCCTTTTGGGCAGCTGCTGCCCGAGTTGCAGAAGATTATCAAATGCAGTGGAGCAACAACCAGAGCTAGCTGCTAAACCACAGCGTGCCCCGGTTCTCACTCCTCCCTGCCCAACGCAGAAGCAAGGGGGTCTGAGAGCACCCCTGCAAGGCAGGGAGCACCCACAGGAGCACCCTAAGAGTAAGGGGAACAACTGAGAGGAGACACATGAGAACTGAGAAACAGAGCCCATGCAGGGCAAACATTCCAGGCCAGCTTGGACGGGGCTGTGAGCAACCTGAGCTGGCTAAAGGTGTCCCTGCTCCCTGCAGGGGGGTTGGGCTGGGTGGCCTCTAGGGGTCCCTTCCAACCCAAAACGTTCTGCGATTCTATGATTCTAACATTCTGTGATAATTGCCCACGGTGGAGTTCAGCCTGCCGCCCTGCCTGCCCCGGGGCAGTGCCCTGGGCCACTCGAGGAGTGCCACGTTGCCCTTTTCCTGCCCGTGATTAAGAAGGCAGAGGACTTATCCATGTGCAGAGCATTTACAGGAGGTCACAGCAAAGAAAGGAATCCCAGATACCTTCCTGGCCTGATCTTATGCTCAGATGTGCGAAAGCAGCAAGGCTGCACACCACGGAGGCTGGGAACACAGCTCAGATTAGGGCATTTGGGCCCTGACACCAACCAGGTGCACCCATAGGTGTCCTAGCTCAGCCTCCCAGGCAATCTCCCCACCATAAGTGCCCATGGATGGTGCCTCCACGCCAGCTTTGCTGCGCCCATCCAGCCGAGCCTGCCCTTAGCACACCTCACCACAGCGGGCTCAAAGCCACGCTAAAGCCATCCTGAAGTGGAACCAGACAAGCTGACAGCTACCCACGCTTCCCCTGGTAGCACTGGTCTGACAGGGCTCTGCTCGTGGCCCCCACCATGCCTGGAAGTGCCGTGTGCCCGGGGAGGATGGGGAAGGGGAGCCAACAGGGCTGGGGGGGTCGAGCAATGGGAATCAAACCCACCAAGCTGACACAAGGCAGAAAGACAGTGAAAGGAAGGAAATAAAGGTCAAGCACATTTGCGTTTGAATAAGAAACCAAAATATTTTTAAGTCTCATTTGTTTTTCTTCTATAGCTAGGCACGTTTGCATGCAAATAATGGAGGGACATAAATGGTTATAAAATAAGTCTCTTACCATATGAACTCGGTAGAGAATGCTAATTCCCAAAGTCATGAATGGCTTAGAGAAATCAATCACCTTCTCCCGCTCCGCCGTAATCGTCAGCCCCGCCACGGCCAAATCGGCTTTCTGGAGAGAAAGGAGAGCAGAGAAGATCAGGTCCCTGAGCCTGGGAACAGCACAGGGCAGGGAAAGTGGCAAAGCCGTGTCCAGGGCCATGCAAGACACCTGCTCCGGGAAGATGGATGCCCCGTCTTTCTGGGGCAGGATGCATTTGCTGCAAGGCAAAACCCAGGCTCGGTAGAAGCCACAGGAGTTTTACTGGTGATGTCCACTAGTTCGGACTGTGCTCCTGCACCCCTCAAACCCGGGTGGGTTTCACATAAGCCCTGCTCAAACGCACTCCAAACTTTATCCCACCTTGTGCTCCAGACCATTCCCCGCACTTTTCCTTTCCTCACCTGGGCGTTTCTATCTCCATACTTACAGGTTGGAAAAGCTCAAAGCTCCCAGTGGGGAGCCCGCTGTGCTAGGAGCTGGACTAACAGCGAACAGAACGAAACGGCAGCCCCAGCCCACAAGTGCGCACAGCCCCATTGCCATTTCTATTCGTTGGATGCTTTAAGATCTGGCAAAACAGCTTCCAGACAAGGCTGTTACTTGCAAGCGCCATAGGTAGGAAAGCATAACAACGCAGCAGCAGCACCCCCGTACCCTGAGTCATGGAGTTTACAAGCCTGCCAACCCCAGACTTCCAAAATTGCAGATTGGTCTCCAGCAAAATTCAGAGGACTGGCATAAAAATTTCCAGATTGACTTGCAAAGCAAATGAGATTAGGGGGAAAAAAAATAAAAATAATTTCTTCCAATGTTAATACCCTTGTAATATAGATAAGGGATTTGAATTTTAAATATTATTTTTATTACTATAGCTCTTTTAATGTCTGTAATTGCTTTCTGTAAAAATGAAACCTCCTCCATTCCCTTATACATTTGTTTGCCTGCTTTGCAGGATGATGATTATGCAAGTGGAAAAAGAGAAGGGGGAAAAAGAAAAGCTATTTGCACTTGTCATCCCTGAGTTTCATAAGGTTTGTGCAGAAGCCAAGGCGCCATCAGGCCCCAAGACCCAGTAAAATATGCAGCTTATCTCCCTGGATCCATGTGCTAGCTGTAAATGCGCCGCACAAAGGCAAATTTGTGGGTGCATCACTCTTACCATGCTCTCGGACCCTGCTGCTCTTGCTTTATTTTCCTAAGAGAATGGGGACTAATCACCTCCTGGCAGAGGTTTGCCGGGGGGTCTTCCCCCCCTCTCTGCCCCCAACAGACTTGCCCAGTTAAAGGCAGGCAGGGAGGATGGGCCAGGGGAAGGCTGGAGCTGCAGGAGTGAAGAGCAGCACTGCTGGAGCCCATAGGAAGAAGGAAAAGGAAAAGAAAGGCAAGGTGATCTGCAAGCCTGCCCAGTAAGGGGGGTCATGGGGAAGGGGATATTTCACAGTCCATGCAGGACTGCTTTATTGGACAAGCCCAGTGTCAGATTTCTGCGATTGTTTCCAAGCAGCTATTACAGATTCCTAGGAGGTTCAGGCTGGAATGAATGATGAGCTAGGGAGGATTTCTGCCTAGCCAGACATTTACCCACAGGGTTTTTGAAAGGCACCAATAATCACAACATGGTGTGTGAGCACTTGAGCCCTATGTAAACACCAGCAGATTACTAAGATGGGATCAGTTCATCTGTGGAACGTGGCATGTGAGAAATTTTATCTGCCAGGGAAGTCTAAAGCTTCCCAAACCTCTCTTGTCTATACTTAAAAGGGTTTGCAGGTACTATTGTCCTGGGGAGAGCTCTCCCAGCAGAGCCTCTCATGAAGACACAGATTATTCTAACAGCAGATTTCTTCTCCTGGTTCTCCAAACTTAATACAATTCTACCAGCAAGGCTGTAGACTAAATAGATGGTAAGTACGCCACATCAAAGGTGTTTCATGCAAAAGCTCTAAGGACATTTCCACTCCTATCCAGAGGCCAATACAAAGGTGCTGCTGAAAGGAGCAGCGCAGCCCCCAGGCTTACCCAGCTAAGTCACCATCCCTCGCCTGCCCCCACCCTCCCAGGGGTGGGACGCAGAGGTCGTCAGGGAATCTTATGCACTCCAGTTATTCCCCCAACTATGGTCCTTTGGGACCCTTCCAGATCCTGTAGGCAGCAACATCTTGAAAGCTGCTCTTCCCTACGCAAAATATAATGCAAATCCATCCCCCTCCTGTTGCCTACGGAGCAGAAACTCAGCGCAGCAGCGCTGCCTTCCCCAGGCACACAGGTTTTGTGCCTAGGTCCCTTCTCTCGTCTCCAGAGGGTCCTGCCATTCCATTAGAGTTGATTTCCTTCTGCTCATTCCCTGCCTGGTCAACTTGAGTCCCTTCAGGACTTCTGGCAGCATCAGAGCTACAGCAGCTCACAGCCCGCTCTAACCTGTGCACATCTGCCTTCTCCGGTGCCAGAGCTCCCTGCAGCAGAGACCCGGCCCCTCGCGGCTTTAGCTGGGGCTGTGGTCTGTCAAAGACTCTCTCTCTGCAGGCTCAGAAGTCATGCAAGTTAAAACAGCAATAAACTTTGATCTGGGAATGGCATGCAATCTATTCTCTGCCTGAATATCATCCACTTCATGCTTTCAGCTTTGCTTCCTGATGTTCCCAAAACTTCTTGTGATTCACTGAGGTCAGCGTACCTCAGTTACAGAGGGGCTCTGCAAACCCAGGTGCTCTCCAGCCCTCGCCCCTGAGCACGGATAGGAGCTGGTGCTTTATAGGCTAAACAACGCACTGGGGGAAGAAATGGATTTTGCTTTGTGCTTCTGCACTGTCCACAACCGCGCCCTGGGGAGAGGGAAAACAGGAGGCAAAGGATGGGGGGAAGAGGGGGAAAACACTTTGATTTTCATCCTTCCAGCACAGTTGCAGCTATAAATGTCAGCATGAAATAGGCTTAGGAAAAGACCCAGAGCATTTTGGGAATAGAGACAGACACTTCTTTTAACCAAACACTGCTTAAACAAGGCCAAACTCTTGCTAGGCAAGAGGAAGCCCAGGTGGGCTGGTGTCTGAGATAAAAGCATGAGCTGCCACCACTGTACCTGGCGTTAACCGTGGGATCTGCCTGCATTAGCAGACAGGCTCCCCCTGCCACTGGGAAGGATGTTAAACACGGGGGCTGAGCCGGGCTCCTGAAGAGGAACAACAATTAAGCAGCCTTAAGAAGCAAATTGCAGGGACTGCCAGTCCGGAGGAGGCGGCCGCCTCCTCGCTGCAGATGCTGACAAGGCTCATCTCGGCGCTAATGGTGATGAATGGGGCCTGACGTCAGTCCTCAGCCCGGGCAGAGAGGATCCCGCCAAAGCCACCCCCGGCACTGGGGACCGGCCGGCAGACTGGCCCTGCTCCAGCCCCGCAGAGATTCACAACCTCCTGTCAAGCTACGGAAAAAAACCCACAGTGAGAAGGTCCAAGTGGCGTAAGGCTTTGGGCTGTCCCTGTGTCCAACACAGGGAGAACAAGCCTGAAGGACAGCTCTGGGTGCACAAGGCTGGGGTTTCTTTCAGGAGCAGGAGTCCCTGACTTGGAACAGCACCTCGGATGCTATGTCCCCAGGGTGCATACGAGAGCACCCTTCTCACCAGCGCTGCCCACAGAGCACCGACAGCGTGGCCACGGTCAGGGAAAGCTATTTCTTACACTGCCCCCATGCTTGGAGGGCCTTCTAGAAAGCTGAAATTGGTGTTCAACCTTCAGGAGCCACCAGCCGTTACCCCCACTGCAGGCCCGTCAGCATCAGCGCTGCTGCTGCCGGATTCGGTACTGAGCACCCGGCTGGAGGTGACCCTGCTTTGCACAGGGGGTCGGTCTGGATGATCTCCAGAGGTCCCCTCCAGTCTCTGCTATTCCGTGCATGGCAGTTTGGGTTCTGCCCCCCCGGGCAGCGCCTCCCGAACCGCCGCGGCAATGACAGAGCAGTCTCTCTGCATCTGCAGATCTGTCCCCTGGCGCCATGGGTGCGGCTTAGCCGCCAGATCAATGTACTGACTGCTTCTGCTCCAGCTGCCCATCCGATCTGACAGGAGCTATTTCGGGTTGTACGGCGCTTCCTGCTGGAGCGAGCAGCAGCCAGGTT